AGTCTTTACTGCACCGTTTTAAAGAAATAAAATATAATAAAATATAACTTGAGATACTCGTGCTGCCGGCACGAATTTAGTTTTGAAAATATTTGACGTTATTAAGAATTGAAATCAGAGTATTTTCACTATCAAAAGTTTAGGCTCATAAGTGAAAAAAAATGGCAAATAATTCAGGAAAAAACATTTGTAAAGTGAAAAATACCTTTGTAGGAGTACAAATAAGACTCCAACTATCGTTCAAGTTTCTTACATCTAGATTTACTATGCGTTAAGAGTAGACATTTAAGTATTTCCAATTTCATGCACTTTTGTCTAAGATTGTACGTCCAATACATCCTTAAGCGAATAATTATTTTTATTGCAGAATACATGACTGAGGCGAGGGACACTTTGGCGCCCTTCCTCGAATTGGTCAAGGACGGAACGTGTCCCGAGTGCAAGGCGGTAGGTTTTATCAGAACCAAATACGAGGTCATATTGAATTATTGCACGAATATCTCGTTTTGCCTAATGCTGAGAACCAAAGGACTGCCAGTGAAGTCGCATCCAGTTGTAAAGCGTTTAGAACAGTACCGTCAGCTGCTCGACAAATTGCAATCGGAGCAGGGAGACCTATTGGAGCAAGTTGCAGAGATATTGAAGGCAGTCAAAGAAGGCAGGCCCCTTTACAGCGTATCAGATGGGCCTCGAATAAAAACCAGCAAGAGGAGTCCAAGGCTCGCTTGCTTAACTAAACAGCTGGCGCGTAAAATAGAGGCAGCGGTGCCAAAGGAACAGTCGTTATCTGATAGCATGGACGAAGAAACGAGCATTGAGGATCTAGATACTGCAGAGAAATACGATGGCGAATCTGAGGCTGATAAAAAAGATAATACAGCTCTAAATATAAACGAGGAGGAGGAAGCAATCAAGAGAGCGATAACGTACAAAATGGCAAAGAACAGAGGTCTCACGCCTTATCGTAAGAAGGAACTGCGTAATCCGCGTGTGAAGCACAGAAACAAGTATCGCAAGGCCAAGATTCGCCGAAAGGGCGCGGTACGTACAGAGCGCAGAGCTCGAGCGTTTTATTTTATCTTATTGTGCCGGCATATGCGCGAGTTCTTTGAATGAAAAATAAAAAACCAATTTATTTCTTGCAGGTGAGAGAAGTGAGAAAGGAATTGACTCGTTACGCAGGAGAGATATCGGGTATCAATATAGGCGTGAAAAAGGGCATTAAATTAAAATAACTAAGATCTTGTCGAATATCAATTATGTAAATTTTTTAAATATACGAATATGCTGTGTCTAATTGTGCGTTGTAACTGGATATTAGTTTTTAAGGCCGGGATTTATAGTCGAATCTCGTATTCAAGACCGTGTCGAATTTATCTAAAAATGTACAGAACATTTCATCGGCTATGGAGCATCTAAAGACGATCTTGAGGCAGTCTTGAATACAAGATCTGGCTATGAATACTGGCCTTATGGATGTGCAATTTCTGATATTAATCGATCCGGGGTCGTGAGAGGTGGGAGACTTTAAACTCCGTCTGAAAATTATCAGCTGCGATCAATTGATAATCGCCACATAATTGCAAAGCGCTCGTCGATATTCAGATAATAAAAGTGTGAAATTAAGCGAACGGTTACGACGTAAATACAATAGACAAATGACTGTATTTTATCAGAAAAATATATGTACAGTAAGAAACAATGGCATTTCAGCAGCGGATTCCTTGGAAAACAAAAAATTAGGTCTTTTCATCGAGTTAAACGAATAACTCAATTATATTATGTACGTGTACTCTGTATACATTTTTTTTCGCCGCTAGCTCGTTAAGTTCTAGACGAACGATTTATGTGGCATTTACAAAACTGGAAACGTAACTTAAACTCAACGAGTTAAACCTCTACTTTGGCTAATATATCCGACTCGCGGAACAGATGGTATTCCTTGTTGTCCTCAAGTTCAACCTTTGTGCCGCCGTACTCGGGAAGTAACACGACATCTCCTATCTTGATGCTTAAAGGCACGTGCTCCCCTTTCTGACGAGAAAAGATAAATTATTAACGGACAATTCAGAGAGGCATTTTGCGAGAGACCAACACGGATATCCTGCGCAACGTACATCGTTCCTCGCTCCAGGGCCTGCGGCCACGACCGTGCCTCGCAGAACTTTTGCTTGCGCTTTTTCGGGCAGTACGATGCCACCTTTCGTTTTGGTGATAGCCTCGGCTCTCTGCACGAGGACTCTGTCGAAGAGAGGAATCAGCCTCTTCACTGCATTGGCGGCGGCCTGGAAACACAGACGTTCGCAATTACCGATACTCCGTTTCAACATTGGACATCGGATGCGTCGAGAACTCGCAGAGATATTTAATTTACTAGTCAGTTTTCAATAAACGACTAACGTCCACTTCTGCCAATGCAAGGTTGACTTTAATCTCGAGTTAACTCGAGATTAAAGTCAACTTTTCACCTTTCTCGAAGAATCGAAGTTGGTCCAGGCAGTAAGAGAAATAAACGTAAATTAACAAAATTTGTTGATTTGACTACGCCGGCTGTTCAACCAAACTTTCTCGCGGATTTAAAACGATACCGGAACTCGGTGGAAAAAGATGACGCAAGTTATGAGCGGATTTCTCTTACGGCGAAATACCTGCATATTTGATTTCTTCTCGCTTTTATTACGAATATGAGCGAACGGCGAGGACGCGACCGAGATATCAATTGCCCCTCTGTCCCAACAAATTCGTAAACAAATGCGATTCGCCTCGAAACGACAGCAGAGATGCAAACTTTGGGTTCCGAGCATCATCAAAGTGTTACACTCGGTGCTCGCTCACACAAGCGCAACCGTGTCCGTGTGCTGCGCAGAGACTTATACTATTTCAAGTACACTTGCTTTGCAGAAGGTGCTCGAAGTGCCTACCCTGAACCTGATTGCATTCAGTGCATCGTCGTAACATTGATTGCCGGACTTTATCGAATAAACTTTTCAAGCATTTTGATGTACTCATGTAAAATGAATGTTTCTAGGCGCAAAGAGCACATTGTAGATCGGGCCTTAAGATAACGCGAGCGTCGTCGCGCGGCCAGCGAGCCGCTCGAGGGGTTATCGGGCGGTAATCCCGTAAAAGGATCGCGGATCCTCCCCGCGATTGATAGAAATTCCCGTCGTTGTTTCTCTCCGTCGCGTCGTTTATCCACGGGGAAACGTAAGCGCGTGTCTATCTCTCACCATGGTCGTTGCGATTCCCACGCGGTCACCGAGTCGGTCGAAGTGCGAAACCGGTGGCGAACGCACGCTGCACGCTCTCGGGAACTCGTGCACGTTGTGTGACCTAAAACCTAGCGGCGGCCGGCGCGCGCGCGGCGAGACGGAGCGGAGCGCATGCGCGCACGCGCATGCGCCATGACGTTCTCGGAGCCCCCGTACTTCCCCGCGGTTGCTAACGTCTCCTCCCCCTCGCCCCCTGCTGCCGGGCCGTGTGCATCGATCACACTGCGAGAGAAGGATCGCGATTACGTAACGCGCGGAGATCCGCGGCTCTACGAGCCGCCGATCGCCGAGCCGGCGACTGAACTCCACTTCGCTTCCCAAGCGGAAGAGTCATTTACGTCTGTTTCTACGAAGATGCAGATTAACTTTGATCTCGGTTTAAGATACCCTTTATCTTTTTCCAGTTTCTGGAATTGGAAAGAGATAAGGACTCAGTCGAGTCGCAATTAAAATTAATCGGCATTTGTTGAAACTACGGGCATTAACCGTAGGTTAATTGAGTCTCTAGATTTGTTTTCTGTCCCTGCACTGGCCCGGTGAACTAGTGCAGTAAGCTAGAATGAGAAAATATATATACTTGTCTTACTCCAATTTATTGCGCTAGTTCACCAGTGCGGGAACAAAAAACAAACCTATGTCTTTAAGGTCCGGTTTCGCCAACGTTGTTTAACTTTGAGCTTAGCTTAATTCGTTTTTTGTCTCTTTCCAACTATTACTTTAGAAAGAGACAAACATGAATTACACTAATTGTAAGATTAAAGTTAACCCAGCGAGAAATGACTCGGCGATTGATATCGAAACGATGAACCTTAAAATTTTACTTTAGAAAAATAAGAAATAAGAAAAATAAATTTGGATACTTTAAACTTTTATTTAAGGTAAACTTATAATTACTTTAAGAATTTAAAAGAAAACTAAGTGTGTCCAAGATTACTCTAAAATTTCTGAAGTAAACTTTTAACTTCTTTACATAAGCTTTTAGATTTTAAAGATTACTTTCAAAAACTTTAATTTTATTTAAAGTAAATTTTTCCATGGGATTATTTCTTACAGGAAAGTAACATCAAATTGATGCTATCTTGATTTTTTATTTGTCTTCGGGTTAGTCGATTTAAGAAGCACACAGTAATTAATTGGTGTATCGGTGTGTCAGCAGGGTTGGGAAAGTTACTTTGTAAAAGTATTTAGTTACAGTTACAGTGTCTTCGCTAAAATGTAACTAGTTACAGTTACAAGTTACCAATTTTGAAAAATAACCCGTTACAGTTACAGTCACTCAAAAAGTAACGAATCGTTGCTTTGCAATTATTTTCTTGCGAATAAACATAAAAATATTAAATCTGCACTAGAACGGTAGAGCGTCGATAAAGGCGTTTATGCGCAAACGCAAGGCCTAATGCGATATGTGGAAGTTTAAAAAATATATACATATTATAAAGTAACTGTTAATGTAACTGTTAAATTAGTTACTATAGTTATTGAAAAAATGTAACTGACAATTAAGTTACCGTTACAGATGGATAGAAAGTAACGTGGTTAAGTCAGATTTCCCAAAACAAGTAACGAGTTATTTCCCAGCCTTGTCGGTCAGACTCGTCAATACCCAGGTAGCTAGTTGACCCCAGTCAGAAATGACTCGAAAACCGACGTCGAAACAATATCGAATCGATGCATTTTTCGTAGCATTTTCGAGCCAAGTCGAAAATGGAACCAAAAATGCATCGATTCGATATTGTTTCGACGTCGGTTTTCGAGTCATTTCTGACTGGGACAAGTGACGTCAGCTGGATACCTGGGCCGCTTTCGCGAGAAAATCAAAATGATCCAGATTAAAATGACCTTGTGCTATGATTGGTCAAATCTGAGATTTCATGGAATAAAATTTCAACATGATGCTATGAGCCCTGGATACATATTAATGCGAGCGATGGCATCGTTTCGAAAAGAAACGATGCCCGACTTTTCACTGTAGATATTGATAACACTGTACATAGCTTATGGCGTACGATAAAAGAGAGATAAGATACAAAGTAGAAAGGATACCACGAGAGTAATGTGAAATGTGTAATGAAAAGAGTAATGTGTAATGAAATATACTTTTCTATCGAAATTTGCAAAATTTTCAACGACGCGACGCGCGAAAATGGCGAACGTTCCCTACGTTCATTCGCGAAAACGACAATTGAAAGCTCGATTTTTGAATTTACTCAAAAGAGAAACGTACGTGAAAATTCTGCGCTTATAGAAAGAATGCAAGTTTATTGGCTATTCGCATGGTTTTTAACCAGCCGACTTTCAGCTTTTCTGCGAAAACAGCATTTACGCATACGTTTCTCTTTCGAGTGAATTCAAGGGCTCGACCACGAATCCTTTTCTCTAGCGTAAACTCGTGAAAAGTGAATATTGAATAGTTCAATGAAATCTTTCGCTTTTCGTGAGTTCCCTGTTGAAAATACCCGATTAAAACCGATTGAAAATTTTGAATCCGCATGAATCTGGATTCTTGATGCGGAAAATACCGATTGACGCGGATAGGGTTAAATTTGAATCGTGTTTAATCAGGAATTTCCAGATAGATTTTGATCCGCGTCTATCGGTTTCAACCCGTGATAAAAGTTCACCGATTGGAACCGATTGGCGCGGATTCAAGTCAATCCGGCAAAGTTGTATTAAAAACGATTGACAGATTTTGTCAGAAAATCCGATAAAAACTGATTGTTACTGCTTCAATTCTATCTGGAATAACCGGATTGAATCAGATTACGAATTGAATCCAATTGATCTTGCATTTCCACCAATCTGGTGCCCGATTGGCCCGATTAATATCGAATTGAAACCGATTAATTTTTATAGAAATCAATGCGATATCTATCGGTTTGAATCGGGTATTTTCAGCAGGGTTCACGCAAGAAAAAAAGATTTATGATCGAGCCTCTGGAACTCGACCATGAATCTCTTTCTCTGGCGTTCGTGAATACGTGAAAAGCGAAAAATTTCATATATATATTTGTCAATGAAAATTTTCACTTTTCACGAGTTCACGTTTAAGGAGAAGATTCATGATCCGAGAGGGTCAATTCTGTATTTTATAATATAGTGGCAATGCTAAAAGTGAGTAGCCTTGTCTCTTTCTGTCTCCTTAGAAAGAGACAAGGCTACTCACTTGTAGCATTTTCACTATAGTGTAAGATACAGAATTGACCCTCTGGACGTCACGGGAAAGACATATAAATTTATGCACGTGTCGAAGCAATGACCCCACACGTATCCGCGACATCGATAGGTGAACGAATTCTCCCGCCGCGTTCTGACTGAACTTAACCGAAATTGTAATTTCGACTAATCGCTCCGACAAATGTCCGCGGAAACAGACAAGAGACTGTCGCGGCGGGTTTTACGGCAAAACAGCGGAGGAAGAGACATAAAAAAAAACGCCTCTGAGATGATCGTCTACGGCCGGCCGATTGCGTCACGCGGAGAATCGCGCCGTATTTTCTAGAACGTGCGCCACGCGGCAATTTCGTGCGGCGTTCGTTCGCGCCGCGAGAAACTGGAGCGGAATCCCCAAGCGGAATCCCCGAGCGAAACCCCGAGGAAAATCGCTCCCGTCTCGGCCGCTTCGCGCGCACGACGTCGAATTAATCGCCGAATACTTGATTATTCGGAATTAATCCGAGTCGCAATGAGGTTAAGCTTTCAATCGAAGTGTTTAATCGAGGGCGGCGGGACGGGAGGCATTTTCCCCACCGCCAACGCGCGCGCAGCGAACCACGTGACTGGTCCGACAGTCTCGTGCCTGGAGACATCAATGCGGGAGTTTACGGGGACATTTTATGTTTCTCTTATTATTTATATTGTAATGATAATGTGTAAGATATATCGATGGCAATATCGAGTGCATTAATATGACGTATGCATGTAACAATAGAATTTCTTGTATTTATATTTTTTATTATATAATAATGTATCAATATATGTGTATAAATAAAAGTAAGTATAATTTTAAAAAGGTATAAGAAGGGACGCCAAGTGTAAGCGCTATCCAATGAAGAATTATATAATTTGACGTATAAATAAAAGTAAATATATAATACATATGTGGATTGGTATGAAGAAAATTAAGGTATTATCATATATGGGTCTCTTTTGCGGGTTTTTCTCACACATATCTTTAAATATAAGATTCAGGCAGTCACAAAAGTTACAAACTCTGGAATACGTGAGAATCCAAAATATTTTTGTACGTATATGTATGTACAGTACTGTAACTTCTTTCTTAATGAATTATATTATGTTTTATTAAATAAAAATGACCCTTTCTACAGACAATATGCAAATTCGTGAAATAAAAATTTGTTTAGGATTAATACAGCATTAATATATAAAACAAAAAATATATTACCATAAAATAAATGGGAAAAAAGCCGGTCTCGAACTCGAGACCTCCGGCATTCTAGTCGCTCGACTTACTAGCCCGACCACGTGTCTAAATTAAAAAATTACGCGTTATCGACTCGGTAGATTACACACGTGGCTCATTTAAAAATAATTTAATTTCTAAACTAATGCCCATTGGCAAGAGTTACTGCACCGTTTATTATTGGGGAGGATGTAGAACAACATATTTAAAATTTAGCCAAATCCCAGCATACGAACCTATATCTTCCCCTTGTTAGCTCAATTCGTTCTTTAATTATCTCTTTCCAATTGTTACTTTAGGAAGAGACAAACGTGAATTAAACTAAGATTAAACCGAGTCTAAGGCCCAGTTTCACCAACGTTGTTTAACTTTAAGCTTAGTTCGATTTTTTGCCTCTTTTCAACTGTTACTTTAGGAAGAGACAAGCGTGAGTTAAACTAAGATTAAAGTTAAACGACGTTTGGTGAAATTGGGCCTAAGCGTATGTACATACCTTTAATCTCGGTTTAACTCTCCTTTAATCTTTTTCCTAGTTCTAAGAATTAGAAAAGATAGAAATACGTAAATTGAACCAAGATAAAGAGTTAAGAAGTGGGCATAATTCGGATCCTAATCAAAACTTGCAGACCGCAACTAATATTTAAGTATAAAAAGGGTTGCTTTTTCAGAAGATCTAAGCGGCAATGAGGTGGTGGAGAGACCCTGCTGGAAATAATTCTACAAAATTCTACAAAAAAAATTAAATATAACTGCCGGAATCTAAGAAATTCTATATAAATTTAAAAAGTGTTATAAAAATCAACATAAAAATGCTAGAATTGGAATACTTTTGTTAATTTTTTTAATATTCCACAAGTAAGCAGCCGTTTCGATTCTTTAAGATTTCGTTGTTTCTCAAATTTTTAAAACTAGCAAAGTTTTGCACTAAGTTTTATAAAATTGTACACTTTCATGAAACACTTATACTCGCAATACTTTCTTGATTTGAGAACATTGTAATTTGTGATACTATTTTATAGATATTTTTACAAAGAGTTTCAACGAAGATATAAAAATTTCTACAAATTTCTATTTCAAGTCAATTAATTTTTGTAGTTATTTATAGAAATTTTTTCCGCTAGGGGAGGTGGAGAGAAAGAGGGAAGGGGGGAGAGAGAGAGAGAGAGAGAGAGAGAGAGAGAGAATCCCCAATAGAAATATTAGACTGAAAATATAATGATAAATACATCGGCCTGCATTCTGAATCCTCTTTTATTCTATAAAAGGGGACTCGGAATACGAGTCATTGATTTGACCGAAAATGTAGCGAATGCGTGTCAATTTCGCCCCACGTTGCCCCAACGTGTACGCGACTGGCGGCCGGCGCCGGCGCGCACGCGTGAAAAATCCCATCGCTGCGCCCATGTGATAGCACATTCCTCGCTCCACTCGTCTTCTATCTGCGGGACAACGCTCGGCCGCGCCGCCGTCGATCTTCAGTCCGTTCAGCTGCCGGCACCCAATCGTCGATTGTCGTCACCGCCGAAGGAATCTGCCCGAGGATCCAAGGTGAAGAAGTCGCGAGCTCGAGCCCGCGCGCGAGTCCGCGCCACGTGCTACATCGGGAAATTCGAGAAACTTCGCCGGCGGCCGTGGCGAGAGGGCGAGAGTTTCTCGCCGGCCGGGGGGACATCCTGGTGCGCGATTTTCGCCCGCGTCGACGGAATACTCTCTTCTCTTCCTCGCGGACGGCTTGCGCGAGAATAGGCGCGCGGTTGGTCGACCGAACTTCAGTCAGGTCCCGTGATTATCTCGCCCGCCGCACGTTAACCTTCAATCCGCCACGCGGGACTTTACATAACCGCGTTCTCTAATCCTGGAGATTGACTCGCGTCGCGGCTGAAAGGTCCGAGGCTTGTTCTTTCGTTGTTTCCTTGAGACCTCGCTCTCGCTCAACTTCGAACGCGTATTTACTCAATTTTTTTCGTACAGCAAGTGCACGTTAGTTGGCACTGGAATGGAGAACCCCTAGGTGTCCGGCTTTAGTTACCCGCGATAAGGTCGCTGCCGTGTGACGCAACTACTTCAGCGTCCAATGTAATGCACTTCGCGTAACGTCCGTGGGGTCCGCGCGGTGGAAAAAACTCGAGAATTCTCTTTCAGAAATAGAATTCTTTTTTTCTAAAAACTTTGAATTCTAGTCTTTTGAAAACCTAGAATTATATTTTTCTAACAACATAGAATTCTTTTTTCTAAAAACCCAAAATGTTCTCTTCTAAAAACTTGGAATTCTAGTCTTTTAAAAACCTAGAATTCTTGTCTTCTAAAACTCTAGAATTTTCTTCCACTAAAAACCTACAATTCTAATTTTCTAAAAACGTAATATTCTTCTCTTCCAAGAACCCAAAATTCCTGTCTTCTAAAACCTTAGAATTTTCCTCTTTCTTTCTTTTTTTGCATTTCTTATAGCTTGCTGTATGTGTGCCATTAACCATTTATCTCGACCCACTGACTGTTCATCTGGCGCTTTAATAGTTAAATGTGTCCATTTGAAATAACGGAAAAATGAAACGAAAACCAAGAGTGTCTCTGCCGATTGTGTCAGAGGTTACCTAAGATTATTACTGAGCGACAATTGATCTCTAACATACATCTTTCTCTCGTTACAGATGCACAGACTACCTACCATGTTGAGAGGAGCAGCCCTGCGCCAGTTGCAGGCACGCACCTATGCCAAAGACGTGCGCTTTGGGGCGGAGGTCCGCGCCCTGATGCTGCAGGGCGTCGACATCCTGGCAGACGCCGTCGCCGTGACGATGGGTCCCAAGGGACGCAACGTCATTCTGGAGCAGAGCTGGGGCAGCCCGAAGATCACGAAGGACGGCGTGACCGTGGCCAAGGGCATCGAGTTGAAGGACAAGTTTCAGAATATCGGTGCCAAGCTGGTGCAGGACGTAGCCAACAATACCAATGAGGAAGCCGGGGATGGCACCACGACCGCGACCATACTAGCTAGAGCGATAGCCAAAGAGGGATTCGAGAAGATCAGCAAAGGCGCCAATCCCGTGGAAATTAGGCGAGGTGGGCGTCCTCAGCTTAATACGATGAATCGTCCTTTCGGATAATTTATCCACTTCGACTTCCAGCCAAGAAGTGACCGGGTTTACGATTCAACAATTTAATACAGAGTCTGTATTAAATTGTTTAATCAACACCTTTCTCCGTTTATAACTATTGTCATCATATCTATAAGTGCGTCAACGGCCATTCCCACGTAAGGGTTTAAATTTTGTTGCGTATCAATTTATATCTGTTACTGAAGAGGGTCAGATCTACTGACCGAAACGTCTAGACATTGTAACACAGTTTTATTCACTTTATTTTATGTTATTTTTTTAACCCACACAGCACAGAAAGATTGCAGAAATGTTACATTGCAAGATTGCAATATTGCAGCAACGTTTCTGGAGGATTGCAGCAATGTTGAAATGTCCGCCCTCAGAGAGATTGCAGTGCAACATTATAGCAATGTTGCGGTGCAATATTTTTTGAATAATTTGTTGTACATAAGCAGAGAATTTATTAATTACATACATATACATCCGGGCCCTTTTCAATACATAGCAAGCTATTGCGAAGCAACCTAAGGAGATTATGTCGCTTCGCAATAGATGGAGATTGCGAGCAACATCGCACTGATCAAGTACTTAATAATTCGCGCATTATTGGTATCAACGAAAATAACATTATAAAATTCTCGTAATTAGAAACATTTTTTAAGTAGAAAATCTAGTATTTTCATTATTTTTGAAACATTGCTGCAATATTGCTATCGAAAGTTTGCAATTTTATATCCCTGCAATGTCTCTACAAGATTGCACTGCAATCCGCAAGATTGCAATGTTTCTGCAATGTAACTGCAACCATCTGTGCTGTATGAGTTCTTGTACAGTTCTTCGAAATGCCACGATGTCCCACGATTACATGATTTTCCGGGTGAATTTTAAGAGAGAATTCTCTTCGTGTGCGAGGGCCTTGGGGAAATGTTGAACTTTGACCCAAGCCTCGAGATAAATCGATGAGCAATCTATACGCGTTGCTACGCGCGATCTTATCGTGAAGTGTGAAAGTACGAACGTTTCTACGAAATGATGTTAAACCACCCGTGACGTTCTAGGCGTGATGCTGGCGGTGGACAAAGTCAAAGATGAGCTGAAAACGCTGAGTAAGCCCGTCACGACACCCGAGGAGATCGCGCAAGTGGCGACGATATCCGCCAACGGCGACAAGGCCGTCGGCAACCTGATCTCGGACGCTATGAAGAAAGTCGGGAAGGAGGGGGTGATCACTGTTAAGGACGGCAAAACTCTCATCGACGAGCTGGAGGTCATAGAGGGGATGAAGTTCGACAGGGGCTACATCTCCCCGTACTTCATCAACTCCAGCAAGGGCGCGAAGGTCGAGTTCCAGGACGCGCTCCTTCTCTTCAGCGAGAAGAAGATCTCCTCCGTTCAGAGCATCATACCGGCCCTGGAGCTGGCGAACTCGCAGCGCAAACCCCTCGTTATAATCGCCGAGGATGTGGACGGCGAGGCTCTGTCCACCCTCGTCGTTAATCGCCTCAAGATCGGGCTGCAAGTGGCCGCGGTCAAGGCCCCCGGGTTCGGCGACAATAGGAAAGCTACCCTCCAGGATATGGCGATATCCACCGGTGGCATTGTGTTCGGCGACGACGCCAATCTCGTCAAATTGGAAGATGTGCAGGTAAACCGTCTCTCCAATCTGATGGTAGCTCGCTGTCTATTATTTCCAATGAGGATGCTATTGACAGAGGACAGTATCCCGCATTATGAGATAGCGGGTTCTCAGCCATTTGACAAGTCTTCTTTCGCAACGATTACACGCACGGTCTAACTATGACTTTTCCACTAAACAGATTTCACGCCAAGAGCAGTAAATTTATGCTGGAGCCAACGGATGATGCCTATTGTTTTAGCAGGAATCTCGCTATCTCGTAATAGGGGACTCTGCTCTTCCCCCGACTCTTCAATCGAGCTTTTGTAAATTGAGACATACGCGAGATGAAAATCGGGATTTGTTGGTCGATGATCATTCTCGTATGAAGGCACGTGTAACTCGGAATTGCTTGATTAATAAGTCGATTTTACAAATAATTTAGAGTATGCTTAGAACTTGTGAGTCCTTTCCATCTGGAAGAGCAGAAGAGCTCCATCGCCAGATTATCGAACGACTCGATCATCGGACACTCAAATAAATGCAACACTTTTTCTAGCCAAGCGACTTGGGCCAGGTCGGAGAAGTTATAATTACGAAGGACGACACTCTCATCCTGAAGGGTAAGGGAAAGAAGGCTGACCTCGACAGGAGAGCCGATCAGATCAGGGATCAGATCGAAAACACCACGTCCGACTACGAGAAGGAGAAGCTGCAGGAACGCTTGGCGAGGCTGGCGTCCGGCGTGGCCGTCCTGAGAGTCGGCGGGAGCAGCGAGGTGGAAGTGAACGAGAAGAAGGACCGTGTGCACGACGCGCTCAATGCCACTCGCGCCGCCGTGGAAGAAGGAATCGTTCCCGGAGGTGAAGTTCGACGTTCGTCAGCTCGTCTTCGCGCGGTCCTACGTTAATACGTTAAGCGTAACGTCGTTTTTTTCCGCAGGTGGCACCGCGCTGTTGAGATGCATACCGGCGCTGCGGCAGCTGAAGGCCGTGAACGGCGACCAGGAGATTGGGATCAACATCGTGGCGAACGCGCTGCGTATGCCGTGTCTGCAGATCGCGCAAAACGCCGGCGTCGACGCCAGCGTCGTGGTGGCCAAAGTGAGCGAGGGCAAGCTCGGCTACGACGCCCTGAAGGGCGAGTACGTCGACATGATCGAAACGGGCATCATCGACCCCACGAAAGTTGTACGCACAGCGCTCACGGACGCCGCCGGTGTGGCGTCGCTGCTGACGACGGCGGAGGCGGTGGTAACCGAGATACCCAAGGAGGACCCTCCGTCGCCGATGGGCGGTATGGGCGGCATGGGCGGGATGGGCGGTATGGGCGGTATGGGCGGCATGATGTAAACGTGTGACGCGCAAAGACTGAGAAAAGAGACAGCGCCTGCGATCTCGCTCGTAGCGAGACGCAATTGTGCCGCGCGACGTTGTTCAAATAGTTCCAAACGTTGATTCCGTTCGAACGGAATAGGAGATATCCGTATCGGTCATGTACAATTTGTACCTCGAAGCATTACAGGCGATAAGTCACACCCCCCACTCGTGTAGCACGAAACCATTGTTGCGCTTTATTCCCGTTCGTTCTGTTCCACGGTTCCGTAATATTGTTACCGAACGAGATCGCTCGTTCTATTTCAATAATAACGCATGCGGTACACACAAATGTCAAAATACAAATGCATTTAATGATGTAAAAAAAACAAAGATTACTGTATGGAGTAAACTTGTTGACGTGTTTATACAGAATGTAGATTATGATGGATTCAACCAATTACATGATAATAATTTTTACACCAGTTTATTCTCTCCATCGTCATATTTTTCCCGATACTTGAGATCACAATTGTTTCGTGAGGCCAGACGCGAGAGTGAGCAGTTGATTCGATATTTTATACAGTTTTCTAGTTGTAGTGCGCATTAAAAGACGAAAACCGTAAAGATGAATGTGCGTCTTAATTGTGGAAGGTTATAATTACTTAGGCTTTCATAATTTTGTAATTGAGTTTATATTTTCCGTTTGAATAAAGGTATGTTCGAATTACAATTTATGTCCCCATGCGGCACTTAACATTACAAGTTATTATGCGGCGAATGAGCAAATGATTGGGAAGCTTGATAAGTACAGAGAGATAAGTTTTATTTAGAATAGATATAAATATATATAGTGTTACTTCATCATTAATTGTTACATTCTTTTTAAACGCAATGAAGACATAAATATGCCAAAGCAATCTTTTAATTTATAATACAGAGAATCTGTCATCCATCTCATTCGAGGCCTATTCCACCGTAATCGCCTTTAAATATCCATCAGATATTTATACTTTCAGAGCACGTTCGTAAATTTTTGAACTTGTTCTTTTTTTGATACTATAAACATTTTAAAAGATATAAAAAAAGGTCCTCCCAGTTACGTTCTTCGGTTTGTTTTGCATATTAACATACATAAAATACTCCCGTTTTAATTTCTAATATAATCTATTGGCGTGAATCGTGTTATAATGTCAAGTACATAAAGTAGTTTTGATTATAAATAAAATTATACAATCGGAAAAAAAACTCGGCTATCTTCTCTCGAAAGACAAAACTCGGGGTGAAATAAAATACCAATATGGCCTGACAGATCGGTGTATCTTACAAGTGTACGCGCGCACTCGATACATGCGATAAAAGTACTTCCAATCTTAAAGCGCGCCTTGTGTAGATCGGAAGAAACGTACAAAATATAACCGCGAAAGAAAGAAAAGTATGAAACAAAAGAAGAGCGATTGCTTAGCCTAGTCGCATGGTTGGAAAAAAAAATATCCCATTTTATATTCAAGATACAAAGAGAGAAGTCCGCTTTAAAAAATATTACATTAAAGCCTAGATACATTCGTAATAAAAAGCATAATATTAGCCTAAGCTCCGATTTTCTCAATCTCGTCCGCGTCCTCCGCATCAAGATAGTGGATCTTCTTGCCGAAGTGTTTCTCTATGTCTCTGCACAATTGCATCGCTTTCGGCGAGTCGATTAGATTGATGGCGATCCCCGACTTGCCGAATCGTCCCGTTCTCCCGATTCTGTGCAGGTACGTCTCGCAGTCCGCCTGCTTCTTTTGGTCCATCGGCAAATCGAAGTTAACCACTATCGTCACCTGTTCCACATCGATGCCTGTCGAAAACACACCGTATATTTCAATATCAATACACGCTCTCGCTGCAATACGCTTATATGCAGGTTTATTACGAATTACAAATGTGTCTATTATGTACAAGGTCTGTAAACAAAGAAGTGAACTTTTATTTATAATTTAACTATAATTTAACTCCGTCTCCTTCAAAATAGTTGTCTTATACGAGGTCTACAATGCGAGTCGCAGAGTAGATCCCGTATTAGGAAACCACGCAGCGCCTGAGACGTTGTTTCCAGTCTTCGTATTGCAGCAGTGCTGGGACTCAGAAACCCGAATGGCCTTCAGCTGGTCGGTTACAGCCGCTTTTACGTTTTCGGTCGTATCAAAGTGATGTCCTTTGAGATGAGTTTTTAATCTCGGGAAGAGAAAGAAGTCGCAGGGGCTCGGGTCGTTGCAGCACTGCTGCGACACGAAGACTGGAAACAACGTCTCAGGCGCTGCGTGGTTACCTGAGGGAATTATTTTGAAGGAGACAGAGTTGAATTATAGATAAAAGTTTGCCACGAAAAAGTCTCATCCCTTCATTTACAGACCTCGTATTAAGATTCCTTTGTACTCGCCTCTAGCTAAGACATTCGTAGTGACGAGAACCTTCTCGAGTCCCGCTCTGAATCTATCCAGCACAGAAATCCTTTGGTCCACTGTTAAGTCACCGGACAATATTGCTACCGCGTGCCCGTCCTTCGTCATTTTCTCTGCCAACCAGCTGGCTGTACTCTTGGTCTGTAAAGTGACACATTTTGCTGAAAGTGACTTGCCCGTAGGATCTAACAAGTATTCAATACATGACCGATCTTACGTGACAGAAAATAATCGCCTGTCCAATAGTGATCACGCCATAGATATTGGTGAGAGCCGTGTATTTCTCGTCCAAGTTTTGGCATTTGATATAGTACTGTTTAATGTTATCTAAACTCTCTTCCTCTCTTAATAGGCGAATGATCAGCGGATTACTAACTATTATTTCGGCGAAATTCATGACCTCAGGTTCGTAGGTCGCCGAGAAAAACATCATCTGACACGTTCTTGGCAGTAACCTAAGCACAAATGACGGTACCTCACCATAATTGAAATACAAACAAAGTCGTCCAAAGATATTATATGTATATCTCGAAAAGATTACTTATGAATCCGGATACACTGATCCTGATGGCCCTGAGTCGCTATCATTACGTCCGCCTCGTCCAGTACGAAGACTGATATTTTGCTCAGATTGAAAAACTTGAACTTCTGTCCCCAATCAAGGACTTTGCCCGGGGTTCCTATGATGATATGGTCGGTGATCTTTGAACCTCGGCTTACTGAAACAATCGAGACGACATGAAGAGGGTCCATCTGAACGGTGAAGAATTCAAATGGCATAAAACAAAAGCGACATATTACTCTCTTCCCCTCTCACGGCGTATTTTATCTTGATCTCAGGGCAGAAGCGTGACATCTTCGCCGCTACCTCACCAGTTTGGATCGCCAGCTCGTAAGTCGGCGATAAACAAAGTACCTGCGGGTAGTCCTTTGTGGGGTCCACCCGACTCAACATGGCGAGCACAAACGCGGCCGTCTTGCCTGTGCCAGACTGGGATTGCGCGATCATGTTCTGCGGCCTGAAAGAAAGCCCGTGTCAATCGTCTCTCGCGAGAAGACCGAGAGCGCCGAGAGTAGCGTCTGGTAAAAGCTTACGGGTCAGCGAGTAAGGTGGGCAGAGCGGTTTCTTGAATTCTCGAGGGTGCGTTGAATCCCATGGCGTAGACACCTTTCAACAAGGCAGGCTTGCTGTATTTAAGGAAACAAAACATAATCATTGTAATAAATTACGTCTGAATTACGTCAGTTAATAGCAGAAAGGATGCGTCCGAGTGGAATCTTCTCATGATCAACGCCCATTTTTACCAATATCGATCAATTTTTACCTCTCTCTAATTCTTGAAACAGGAGAGGTCAGAAAAGGCCCGCGTCCACGACGCTGGAACTTGGCCCACGTTCTAGTCCCGAGAAATGTGTAGCGAATCAACTCGCGGCTATTTCACAAAAGCTGCAAGCCGATTGGCTACACGCTGCTCGGAACTAGAACCTCGACCAAGTTCTAGAACGATGAACACGGGCCTAAAGCGAGTCGAAGTCACGGTTGATCCACATTGGTAGAAATAAAGCGCAGAAGCTAATTATGTACATATAATCATTTACAGGTGAAGCGCATCGAATGTCTTGACACTGTATAACGGAGAATTCGGGTCCTTCCTCTGAATCTCTATATCCTTTGTCGTCTCGACCAATCCTTTCCTTATGATCTTCTGCAGGAGCGACTTCTCCGCCGGCGAGATCTGCTCCTCCTCCGACTTGTCGTCGTCGCTCCTCTGGTCTCCATCTTTCGCAGACGGGACGGACGCAGAGTTCGCTTTATCCGGAACAGCCGTCGAGTTCGGTTTGTCTAGGTTCAAACTCGTCACCTGTGCGCAACGCACGCGGATCAGTTAACTTTCTCGCACCAAGCGTCGCGACACTCGGAACTAGCGCTCGGTTCCCTTCTTTCGGGCATGGCAAACGCACGTGCAGCGTCTCGATAAGATCGGCTGTACGAGAGAAGCGTTACAGTTGTAAAGTAGATAAAAAGAAAAACGCGAGTAATGTAATACAAAATGACTCGTGATACTGAAGAACGGGTCGCGAGCGCTAACTTGCCGCGTATCGTGAAACGGGTGTCACGAGCGTGAGAATGAAGCCGGTGTAACGTATCCACAGGACAGAGCCGCTCTTACCTTCGACGCTAATTTGTCCTGTTCATCGGCGTACTGCCCCCAGTCGACCTTGGTCGAAGCCATGTCTGCCGACCACTTGGTCAGTACCTGCGACAGAGAGACGTTCTCGGACCGAGTTTCAGAGTAAACCTCGAAAAGTCGTCAACATATATCTCCTACCACGGTCTGAAGCACGGTCTTATACACAGGTCGGGACACTCGTGGAATAAAGCGTGCTCGAAATGACGCCAATATGGCGGCCAGCTCAGGCTAGAGTCCCTGTAGTAAGAGTCTGGCAAGAAATATTCTCCGTTTGATTGGTTTGACGCAAAATGGCGGAACCAATAAGGTGTCTCGAATCTGTACTCTGAACACAGT